GTCATCATAACCTTACATAACATATACAGTCAGCGTCATCATAACCTTACATAACATATACAGTCAGCGTCATCATAACCTTACATAACATATACAGTCGGCGTCATCATAACCTTACATTATATACAGTCGGCGTCATCATAACCTTACATAACATATACAGTCAGCGTCATCATAACCTTACATAACATATACAGTCAGCGTCATCATAACCTTACATAACATATACAGTCAGCGTCATCATAACCTTACATAACATATACAGTCGGCGTCATCATAACCTTACATAACATATACAGTCGGCGTCATCATAACCTTACATAACATATACAGTCAGCGTCATCATAACCTTACATAACATATACAGTCAGCGTCATCATAACCTTACATAACATATACAGTCAGCGTCATCATAACCTTACATAACATATACAGTCAGCGTCATCATAACCTTACATAACATATACAGTCAGCGTCATCATAACCTTACATAACATATACAGTCAGCGTCATCATAACCTTACATAACATATACAGTCAGCGTCATCATAACCTTACATAACATATACAGTCAGCGTCATCATAACCTTACATAACATATACAGTCAGCGTCATCATAACCTTACAAACATATACAGTCAGCGTCATCATAACCTTACATAACATATACAGTCAGCGTCATCATAACCTTACATAACATATACAGTCAGCGTCATCATAACCTTACATAACATATACAGTCAGCGTCATCATAACCTTACATAACATATACAGTCAGCGTCATCATAACCTTACATAACATATACAGTCAGCGTCATCATAACCTTACATAACATATACAGTCAGCGTCATCATAACCTTACATAACATATACAGTCAGCGTCATCATAACCTTACATAACATATACAGTCAGCGTCATCATAACCTTACATAACATATACAGTCAGCGTCATCATAACCTTACATAACATATACAGTCAGCGTCATCATAACCTTACATAACATATACAGTGAACTTCTTCACACATAATCGGCTACTTCACACATACAAGATGTAGCATGATGTGATATGTAATGTATCACATGTGATTATTATTTTATAATCGCATATAATTCTATAACATGATATCTATTCACAGATGACAGTCCCTTGCAAACTGGACTTCAGTCGTGGTCAGTCGCTGGTTGAGGTCATCTCAACACTGCATCAATGTCCCAAACGGTGAGCATCAATAACTCCTCACAAATCTCCCATCAAAGATGCCAGATAATCTCCCTCACATTGCGTAGTCATCTTTTCTTCCCTAAATGTTGATGTGCAACTTCCCAGCACAACGTCTTCAAGCTATCAAATCTACCCTCAATTATGGCATACAGTCTCCAAAAAAATATGCAAGGCACATCTACCTACTGGTTGGCTTTCCATCTCCATTAAACGATATCATCAAATTTGCGCTAAATGTCAAGTTTCTGTAAAAACCAGTGGCATCAGACTCTACTAGACACTGACATAAGGTCAAAACTGAACAATGATGTCAAGTCTGCTGCAAAATTAAATTTCCCTAAAACGATAACACCAGATCTCCGCAAATGGAAGAAATCAAGGTTCTCCCAACAATGACGTCACACCGTGCATAAATTATGGCGTCATGTCTAGCTTAAAAGATGACGTCACCTCTCCCAGCCGTTTCCAGCAAGTCTCTGAAGAAAGATTTCATCACCCGGACAAAATCCAGTTGTATCAATTAACCCGAGGAAGCCTCCACCAAGGGTAGATACAATATGTTCATGGTGAAATAGGTATGAGGAAACACTCGCCTAACTCTCATATCGGGACAAACCACTGGACCTAATACATGATGCTACAGGTGCGAGAAGATAGTGCCTAAGTATGACTCCTAGCGTGTCCTAACATCTGCCTGTATAGGGGATTATATTGAAAACATCTGGGCCAGCCTTTGTCAAACTCGGGCAATCAATACTGTACAGTTCGTGTGCCACTTGTCGCACGGGAACCTCGTTTATATGGGAACCGAATAAACGGTACTGGATCCTAACAGCAGCGTTCAGTTATTCGCAGACATATATCGCATAATAAATTGCAGTGTTTTGTGTAAAAGTTCAGCAGAGGCCTGTGGTTTCGGCGTGTTTTATAAAATAGTTTGCTCGGATGTTTTGGGGGAAAGTGTTACAAGTGATAATATGTGATTTGTGATTATTTAGGAGACTTCTGTTTTCATTCTCTGTCGGTTCTGGATTCATAGAGCGAGGAGAGAAATGTAAATTCCGTGGATTTAAACAAATCGATTTCTCTGGTTACAGTCGCTGCAGTTATTCTTTATCTGTCGAGGATTATCAATGTGTTCAGTAAAAGTGTTCGGTTTATCGCATGCTTGGCGCTTTTTCCACACAGTTGACATTACATGGTGTGATGACGTGCGGCCCTCGCCAGCTCGCTCGGTTGTTGAAGAGAACGTTCCCGAGTGAGTACAGCACATGCTTTGTGGTCTGTACTACCCTGAGAGCGGGGGGAAAAGCGAGGATAGAGTGAGGGAGGGAGAGAGAGTGTGTGAGAGAGAGAAAGTGGGAGAGAAAGAGAGAGGGAGTGAGGGTGGTTGGGGCAACAAAAGCCACCTGCCAACACCCACCCCTCGCTGAGCGGCCCGTATATAATTAACGTGTAGAGATGTCTCGTAGACTCGCTGAGGACATTACAGAGCGACAGAGGCCAGGAAAGCCCCAGGACGCAAGTCAAGCGAGTTTGGTTCCCACTCACGTTCGAAGTTCAGTGAGCTTTCTGAATCCCGATATTTCTGTCGGTGGTACAAACTTAGAGCGGGCGCCCAGTCTGAACCGGCTCCACGCTCAGAGCTCTACGGAAACCAGTGGTTTAGGAGAGACTGTCACTTCTGGGTTTTCTAGCCAGGAGAGTGTTCTGAGTTACCTTGGAGATGATAAGGATCGCCCTGGAGGCGGCGTTTCTTTCGTGGAGCGGTCTCGAAGGCGGCCTGGTGGAAGTCCGGGCGGCGGTCGCCCTTTTACAGACCAAGAACATGTTCACAGGGATGACATCCACAGAAGCCATTCGGGCCTAGCAAAGCAGCATATATCAAAACAACAAAGGCAGCAGCAGAATCGGCTGGTCATCCCGCAGCCGGGCCAGCGTCCTACAGGAGGCGAGATCAAGTCCTACCCAGACATCGATCAGAGGGGCGAGTATGATACACAATTTCTTGATCACCATGAGGCGAGCTCTCGACGTCAGAAACCAACCCGGGACACCGGCGGGAGAAGTTTAACCCCACAGCAGGCGAAAGAGGAGTTCGAAGACAGACAGCGAAAGTTGAAGCAGATACAACAAGAACGCGAAGCAGCGCTCTACCCAAGTTCTAGAAGTTCACACGTAGACGAGAGAACCGGTTCTGTCGCAACTGGCTTGGAGAAAACGCGAAAAACCAGCAATCCGATTCAGAAACAGAAGGATAGAGAGTCGTTTGAACTGTTGAGCATCAAAGATCAACATCTGGGAGGTTCCACAGTCAGACAACTTTCTTCGTCTGGGACTAATCCAAACAAAATCGACCCCAGATTTACTGACCACCGTCCAGTGTATAAAACCGACAGACCTGATCGGACGCATCCGTCTGCAGACACATCCAAACCCACCAAGAAGGAATCGCCCTCACCCGCAACCTCGTCACGACCAGCTGCCACATCAGCCAGCAGGGAGAGCGTTGAAGTTCACTCCAGTGTCATTCCGTCATCTGACAGTAAAGAAAGTTCTGACTGGACAGAAGCGGCCTCAGCCACTCGAGGCAGAAGCTCCTCCTCCCAGATCGTCTCCAGGGAGCGAGAGAGGAGAACTACCTCAAAGTCTCGAGAGCAGCTAAAGTCGCAGTCGAACAGTCCAAAGACGAACTCTGACGAGTACAACGAGTCGAGTGGATCTAAGAAAAGTTACGAGACTCAGATACTAAACAGACAATCGCCACGCACCAAGTCCAGCTCCAGTGGGGAGTTAACCGAGGGTGGTCATAACCCTCAAGGAAGTGAGAACATCGAAAGTCAAAGATTCGATGATAGGAGAAAACGGCGAGATCATTCAAACCCTGTCGACGAGAAGAAGATCCCACTGAAACCTTCTGATTACCAAGCAGAGGCGATTTCTGGAAAACCACCCCAAATTAGATGGAGTAAAGGAGACGACGGAAACATTAAAAAACAGCAGCAGCAACAGCAGCAGCAACAACAGCAGCAGCAGCAGCAGCAACAACAGCAACAGCAGCAGCAACATCAGGACATTCACACACCCAGGCGAAGGAACTACGACAGAGATCAAACAGAGGTGCAATCGAAAAGTATTTATTATAAGCAAAGAAATGAACCGGGAGAAGCAAGGCGGACTGTAAAACCAGCTCTTGAACCCGAGCAAGGCAAAAGTTTAGAAGAGTATCAAGCCCGTGAACTGTTCAACAGAAACAGTACACGACGGGTGCGTCAGAGTGAGCGCCAGTACCCTGAAGACGCAAAGGCAGGGAGGCCTAGACGTGATGACCTCAGAAGAAATGTCCGTACCGAGGTCCGGGATAATTCTGAGATCGTGGAAGTTGGTGATTTTAGAGATATTGACCTAGGACCCATTCTTATTCGAGGAGCTGCCGTGTCAAGGGTGCACGAAACGAAATCGAGAGAGCAGAGAAAACCACCCCAGGAAGATAACCTTCAAGATCGCAGCCTGGATATACGGGTAGTTGCTAAAGACAGAAGTGCTGTTAGCGGCAGGTCAGGTGATAGCTCTAGTTCCAGACCTCCTCAGACGAGGAATCTGTCAGCAGATGAGCTTTCTGCCAGAGGAAAGTCAGAGAGGGGTTCGGCTCCACTGCTGCGCCCTAGCACCTCACACGATGACCGAGCCTCTGCACATCCTACAGCCAGCATTCAAAGCGCTGGTGTAGAAACCATGAACTACGAACGATTGTTTCATCAAGCCAGCCGGGATATGAATGGAACTGGAGGTGGAGGCGGAAGTCGACCATATCCTGCTTCCTTTACCGGAAGCCAACCATCCCGTTCATCGAACCAAGCTGCTGCAGCTGGCATACATGCACCGAGCTACAGTCTATCCCGACACAGCCAAGTTCCACCTTCAGAATCCTTCAGTGGAGCCACCATCTCTAGTCCCACCCACCAAGACAAGCCTGTTCCTCTAAGCACAAGTGCTTCTTACACAACACCGTCGTCACGACCAGTGCCTACAGTACATCTAACATCTGTAGAAGATCCCACACTCAACGTAGAAAACGTTGGTCATGAATGGGAACGACGGGACAGTCGCAGTTCAAACCGCAGCGGGACTTCAAGTCGCTTCCTTGGGGTCAGCACGGGATCCGCCTGGACCAAATGGTCACGTGAACGGCGAGCTAGCTACAGACGCAGGTTGGAAAAAATGGAGCAGGAGAACCCTAAAGCGCCAACGGATACTGCTCGCATCTCAACCCCAATCAAAAAGGCCCGCCAAGAGGGGCTGAAGTTCGTCCATCCGGACCTAGAGGCGAGGTATTTATCCGAGGATGATATCAACGAACTACGTCGACACAAACAACAACAGGTCCAAGCCATGCGGGTAATCGAACGAAGCAGACGACACAAATTTCGTTTGAAAAACGAGCTAAAACTGACGCCGGAACAGTGGCACCTGCTGCAGGAGTTCTGGAATCATACGTTTTTTGTGCGGACCCGGTTCTTGGGGATCATTCTCAGTTTCATCACCCTCATCTTTATGATCGTCAGCATTACCCATCACTCCTGGCTGAAGCACAGTAAGTCTTACCTGTGTTGTGGTCAACTTTGTTTAAAATCTGTCCGTCCGTGTGTTAGTCTACATGTATGTCCATAGGTGCACCACTCCATTAATCGGTCAGTCACGTTTCTCTGTCTTTCTGTCTATGAATCAACATGTCTGTCCATCCTGCCATCCTGCCATCAGCTAATTCACATGTATGAATGCCTGCCATTTCTATCATTGCATCTACATATCTGTCTGTCCGTCCGTCTGTCCTTCCATCCATGCATTCAAGTGTGTGTGATAATCCGTCCTAGCATCCCTCTAAATTCCTGCCTGTATTTCGTCTATCCGTTCCTATATTTTCTGTCTTTTGTCTCTCTGTCCGCCTCAGAGTTGACTTGTCGACCTCTCTGTGTACCATCTATCCATATGTTCCTGTCTGTCTACCGTCGACTCCTCTGTCTCTTAGCTGGTCTATTCCACCCTTCTTAATGTATTTCTATCTACCTATCTGGTCTTCCCTCTCTTCCATTTATGTTCGTCTACCAATCTGTCTGTTTGTGTGTCTGTTGTACGGTATCTATCATGAAATCAAGACCAAAGGGTTGTGGTATCTATAGTACCGAGCCAAAGGGTTTACAACTCATGGTGTCTGGATCTACAGTCTGTCTGACCTTTTATCTGAAGGTCATTATTGTCTGACTGTCAGTATAACCCTATCACGTTTCTTCTTCGGCAACACGGTCAAGAGTCTGCCTGCTGAGATATAATGATAAACAGCTTCTGGATTTTAGTTCCTGTCGTCTGTTTCCGTCTCCAGTCTCGTCTGTCCTGTGTGTCTGAAACATGTTTTCTCCATATCTTTATCTTGTCTTTGTTTGTCCATGAGTTAGGTCATGTCTTCTCTCTATCTTGCTCTAGTCTTTGTCTGTCTCTATGTTAGATCCCGTCCTCTCGTTCTTTCCACTTAATCTATATCTGTTTGTCTTTGTGTTAGAACCTCCCTTCTCCTGCTGTCACTAATTTTGTCTGTATGTTTTTGTGTTAGAACCTCTATTAGCATTCTTCATCTTTTTGTGTCTGTCTTTGTTAGAACCTGTCTTCTCATTCTTCTTCTAACCTCTGTTTGTCTTTATGTTAGAACCTTTCTTATGCATGTCTTCGACTAAACTCTGTTTGTCTTTGTGTTAAAACATATCTTTTCCCTATCTTAAAACAATACAGGAGCACAGCGGCGCTGACCAGACCCAGGTCAAACATCACCATGGAAATAGCCGCTGCTTCTAGAGCTTTAGCATGGGTATCCGAGCAAACCGCCACACAGGCAGTAATTGTCTCAGACTCAATGACTATGCTTCAGAAGATAGCAACAGGCGGTATGCGCTCTGAATGGTTAGAAAGCATTCGAAAATCGCATTTAATCTCCGTAACCTGGATCTACACACCGGGTCATGAGGGCGTAAAGGAAAATGAGCGAGCTGACCAACTTAGCACTGCACTAAGGATTGCAGGAAAAGGCATGGACAGGGCAAATATTGTCAACGCTGTACAGACTAAGCTAGTGGATAATGAGGAATCCCTGACACTTAACACGATTGCGTGACATCGGAGTAAAGCATGGTGAAGCATGTCTTTGCTGTCTTCGAGACCGAGATAGGAGACAGTATAACCAGCTTCTCATGGGAACAATTAGTAGAAGTACTTTGAAGTAGCTGCTGCATCGGAGGACTGAGCACGCATGGAAATGCCCAATGTGCAGTGACGTCGATTGTGATAACATAAAATAACATATCATGTAAGGAGTCGGCAGTCCGAAACCCAAGTTCAAGGTGTCTCCTTCAAGCCAAAGAACTGCATGGCTGTTGGGTGAACAGTCGTTAACGAAGGCAGTCAGATCGCTGTAGGGGCGAGGCTTGCCGGTGGATGTAATGTCATAAGTCCCTTCCCTAGCTAATAGTGAGGGTACTGCTGGGGTGGCCGGTTATTAACCCTCACATACTGCTTCAGGTCAGAATGGATGCTAGCTAGGCACAGCCACTTTTTTTTAGCTGTGACAAATTTGTTTGTTTCTGCCAGACGGTGTTCGTTGCATTTTTGCTCCATTTGTAGACTAAAAGATATAGTTTCATTGCGCATCTTCTGAATTGAAATCATGACGTGACACTCTTAGCTGCGGATTTCATTTGAACAGTGATAAATATTCTGTGTGTTTTCCGTTGGCACAGGAGCGGATCAACTATGGGGTAACGCGTTTGCTATGAAGCTGAAACTAAGATTACCAGATTACCAATTCCATGTCTTCCACTGATCTTTATCTGTTTGTCTTCTATCTTCCTATAACCTCTAGCTGTTTGTCTTCCATATTTCTATAATCTCTAGCTGTTTGTCTTCCATCTTCCTATAATCTCTAGCTGTTTGTCTCCCATCTTCCTATAATCTCTAGCTGTTTGTCTTCCATCTTCCTATAATCTCTAGCTGTTTGTCTCCCATCTTCCTATAATCTCTAGCTGTTTGTCTTCCATATCCTATAATCTTTAGCTGTTTGTCTTCTATCTCCCTCGAACCTCTACCTGTTTATCTCAGTATTAGAACCTACCTTCTCATTTTTGCCTGCCAGATGTAATCACATAATGGAAGTTGTTGATTATTCTCTCCTACCGTATGATTGCAACCCTAAACATACCCACTTTATATTTAAGGAATGTACATGTAGTGGTGCCTTTTGTAAGCCTGCCAGTTTGTGCATGTTGTCAGTTAAGATTCATGACAGTATATGCATGTTGGCAGTGTAAGAAACATGACAGTATGTGAATGTTGACAGTTTAAGATACATGACGGTATGTGAATGTTGGCAGTTTAAGATACATGACAGTATGTGCATGTTGGCAGTTTAAGATACAAGACAGTATGTGCATGTTGGCAGTTTAAGATACATGACAGTATGTGCATGTTGGCAGTTTAAGATACATGACAGTATGTGCAGGTTGGCAGTTTAATATACATGTCAGTATGTGAATGTTGGCAGTTTAACATACATTATAGTATGTAAATGTTGGAAGTTTAACATTCATGACAATATGTGAATGTTGGCAGTTTAACATACATGACAGTATGTGAATGTTGGCAGTTTAACATACATGACAATATGTGAACGTTGACAGTTTAACATACATGACAGTATGTGAATGTTGGCAGTTTAAGATACATGACAGTATGTGCATGTTGACAGTTTAAGATACATGACAGTATGTGCATGTTGACAGTTTAATATACATGACAGTATGTGCATGTTGACAGTTTAATATACATGACAGTATGTGCATGTTGACAGTTTAACATACATGACAATATGTGAATGTTGACAGTTTAACATACATGACAATATGTGAATGTTGACAGTTAACATACATGACAGTATGTGAATGTTAGCAGTTTAACAAAAATGACAGTATGTGAATGTTGACAGTTTAAGAAGACAGATCTAAACATAACAATAGAATACAAAGGCATTAAACAGTCATCTGAGTTTGAAAATCTGGGAACTACATTTACCGAAGATGGGAAATTGGAAAAAGAAATTGACATTAGATGCAGTAAAGAAAACCAAGTATTGGGACAGCTAGCCCCCCTCTTACAGCATAAGACAATCCCAGTCAGCACAAAGAGACATCTTATTCAAAGCATATTTATTCCAACTCTGTGCTACCAGTGCCAGACATGGTCACTCACAACAAACCATAAAAGAAAATTAGTAACCACGGAAATGAGATGTCTGAGAAGGGCTGTAGGAGTGACCATAAGAGATAAGATCAGGAATGAGATCATAAGAGAACAAGTCTGCACAGAACCAATTCTGGATTACATACAAAGACAGCAAGTAAACTGGTTTGCCCACTTAGAGAGAATGCCTTGTGACACCATACCTTACAAAGCATACATGGAAAGAGAAGAAGGACGTAGAGCACGTGGTAGACCAAGAACAACATGGAAGGATAACATCAGAGAAACTCTACAACAGCACGATGTGCCTATGGTCGAGGCAGGTTGATCATTGATGATGATGATAATGATAATGATGATAATGATAATGATAATGATGATGATGATAATGATAATGATGATGACGATGATGATAATGATGATGATCAAGACGACGACGATCATGATAGAGCGCCGACAGTCCAGTGGGCAGGAGGAAAACAACTGTATGTGAAACTGTCTAATAAAATGTAGGTAGTTCAAAAGTAGATTGTGCACACACGAGGATCTTCTTCGCACGCAGCCACGCTTGGGTACACTTGCACTTAAACACGCCAGCGTACACACTGTCGCACACTCTAGGAAGAATCGATGCGCCCTTCTAGTGATTGGCACGATACTACAATACGTCATGGCTTGACTAATTACATCCTAATTATTGATGAATTCGACTCCCCTGAGGGCGGTTCCGATTACCTCCTCGTGAAGTCTCGGCGGATCCGTAAAACTCACACACTTGTTCGAACGTAAGGTTGAAACTGAGAACTCTTTGTGTGTGTAAACAACTTAATTAAGAAAAGGGGCCACTATATTCATAAATCGGTGCATCGTTCGGCGGTTGCGAGGTCTCGAGGCATGGTGTCCGCCTCGAGTGCTGGAGGTTCCGGCTCCAATGCCCAGTAAGGGCTGGGATTTGTTCACGGGGACTTGGACTTCTAGTAATTCTTCCTGATCTCTGGGTAGTGAGTTCGGACGACTGTGTGCATTGTTGCGCACGTAAAAAAAAATCCCTTTGCAGTTGAATTACGAAAGAGTAGCCTATCGGTGCTGTCCAGAAAAAAAAAATTGGAGCTAAAAATCTACCCAAAGTATTTCAGGATCTTTGCCGGTACTACAGAGGATGTGCGCTGTGCTACGCTTCTTTGGATTCGGACTTGAGTTAGAAGAATAACGGAGCACTTATGGGTTGCTACCCGTGTGCCGTGATGTTGATCCGTTGTTTAAAACATCAAAACCTCAACTGGTGCATGGTCCTAAGCCGTAAAGCCGTAAGCC